AGTTCTTTCGTGAGGTGGGGTCTAACATACTCTCAGGAATGTGCTCTGATATACCTCTTTGCAAAATATGGTTTAGATACCATTATATATATATATTTGTACATACATATCTGCCTTTTGAAATATTTTTCATTCAATATGTTCTGATCATGGTTCCCTCTGCCCTTAACTCCTCCTAGATCTTATCTACCTTCCCATCTCCCACCAAGCCAACTCCATGCCCTGTTTTTCTGTCTTTCCTTAGAAAACAAACCAACACACATACACACACCTAAAATACAGTATAAAAAAAGAAAAAATACAAACCAATAAAAATACAAAATCAGAAATTATGATATACAAGCAAAACACCAGTAAGACAAAAATATAGCAAAATGAGACAAAATGTCTCCAAAAATACCATTGATCTTATTTTGTGTTGATCATCTACTGCTTCAGCATAGCCTACATGTAAGTGCTTGATGGGCCCAGTGAGACAGACTTTCTCGGAAAGAACTAGCTTTTTTGTTGGAAGTAGTTGTGAATCGGAAAGAACTCAGGTTAGGGATGGGAAATCACGTCGACTTACCCCTCTAGGCATTGGTGCCCCAGTGGGTTAAAGCAGGCAAAAGAGCATTCTGGAAACAAAGCTACACAGCTAACCACTTCAATCATTGACCTAATCTCTCCTCTAAATGGCTAGAACCAAGAGATCAAGCAGATACTGAGGTTGACGTAGGAGCAGGTCAAACTACACCCCTGATCAAATTCCTTCAAGTCTTAAAATAAACAGAACTTGTCAAGTTCTGTCTCCACCTTATCTGTCCACACTTCCTTCTTGCCATACCTCACAATGGCTCCAAGTGCTAAATGAAGCTTTGTGCCGTATTTTGCATTTGCTAAATTTTTGGTCTAAAGCTGTGTTTCCATTGCTTGTCTATCTAGGGAAGAGCAAATTGTTTTTTCATAATACACTTTATCCTTCATAGCTCTATGATAATCTCATATTACCCAAAGACTTTATCTACATTTCTAATATAACACTTATCTCTTTACACAACTATGGGAATACCAGATTTGCTCATTGTCAGATAGATAACACCATCATTCTAGAATCCAGCAGATACAGTTGCAGATGTGGTGTGTTCCTCTATTTCCATACCTTCAACTTAACTAAATTTAGAGTGATATTATTTTAGCTTGAATAGCATGGTGTCCCACGTCTTCAGAGGATGGCGTCATTAGTTAAATTATTGGGTAAGCTCATCTACTTATTTCTTCCTATTCAGTTTAAGGGTAGACACAGTCAAGGTTTTCCAAACAGTTTATAAGGAACTTCTCACAAGGAATACTCAAAAGCTCATGAGTGATGGTGCTTTCTCAGCTAAAAGAAGGGAGCGGGGGAGGGAGGGAGAGAGAGAAGGAGAGAGAAACTGATGCTTTAAAATTTGAGAATACTGAGAAAAAAATCTAATGATTTGAATGGGCTTTATAGAAAATAAAGGACTTAGATTATCGGTATAGTTTCAGGAGAAAGAACAAATTTTCCTTTGCTGGTAAGTAGCCTGCAAACTGTGATTATAGAGGAGACAAAGTTATTTTCAGGTTAGAGAGAAAGGTAAGGGGATGCTCAAAGGGCCAGACGCCTGTTAACTAAGATTTATTAAAGAGAAACCTAGAATTTTACTAAAATTTAAAATCTGATAGTTAAAATGCTGCCTACTCTGCTAGCAAAAGGCGGTCCCATGGGTTTGAATGTGTTTGCATTGGCAAAACCCCTTAAGACAGAGTGGTTCAGCCTTCCCAACGCTGTGACCCTTTTATCCAGTTTGTCATGTGGTGGTAACCCCCAATCATAAAATTATTTTCTACATAAAACTATTTGCTACTTCTTAACTGTGATTTTGCTACTATTAGGAATCATAATGTAAATACCTGATATACAGGATATCTAAGATGCAACACCTGTGACAGGGTCATTCAACTCCCGAAAAAGTTTTGACGCACAGGTTAAGAAGCTCTGCCATAACGAAACAGAAAAAGTGAACACTGCCACATGTGTAGAGACAGATCGACAGGGTCACAGGTCCTGATTTGGATCATTGTGTAAAGATGGCTAATGGAATATCTATTAGCAAGAGATATACAAGAAGACCAATATCTAACTATGCAGAAAGTCCTGGCTCACATTCTTATTTGGATCTCAGTACTAAAAAAGAAAAAAATCTATGTGCACATGGTCTTCTAGGCATTTGACAATCTGTTTGTGTAAGAAGAAAACATAGGAGGAAGTAGAAGGCAGGGTGGAAGTGTCGGGTTCAGTGGAAACAGCCTGAACATAAATATAATGTCTTTATCGGGCAAGCTAGAGAACATTTCCATCCATATGAGAGATGATTTGGAAAACCCTTCAATGTGGCTCATAAATGGACACAAGAGCATGGGAACCCAGAAGTGTACCTCTAGCCTCACTTAGAGCTAGTTTCAGAAATGTAGACAAGTGAAACTTCTACATCAAATTCTCATCTCCTATTTCAAACCGGAAAAGATAGAAAAAAACGTGCAACGTAATGGGTGCTTAGTGTCAACCTCCTGTTTTCTCTAGGAGCGATTTAAAAAAAATATCAATACTGAGGACTTCCTCTCTGCTGGGATTCACTGTTCACCATTAACCTGGCATCTGAACTTGGGATCATCCCATCGCTGCCCCCACGTGCAGGGATTACAAGCAGTCACCACTGTGCCTGCCAACCAGCCTATTTTTAACACTGGTCTCCTCGGGAAATTGCACAACCTCTCCACCTTTCCAATACTTGCCTCTCCCCAGTTGCCTTAATTTCTAATATAAATCGCCTCCATTCTTACAAAGCTCTTGATTCAGTTTGAAATGGCCAGGGCTTTCCCTGTCCCAAAGAATCCAAATTCACAAAAGGACAAGAGCAGCTATCGACTGCATCCACAATGTGAGGTCAGCCAGTGCTCAGCCATCTCCAAATACCTGCAACTCAGACTCAGAGAGTCCTAGTCTGCAGTTCGCGACTGTGCATAGGCGAGTTTTGTAGACTCATTCCTCGCTCGTTCTCACTCTCTCCTTTCTCTCCTACAAATCTATTACCCAGGCTGCATTGGTTTCGTTGTTTTGTGCCTCTGCCATTTTTTCTGCTTCATGCTTTGAAGTTCTCTGCCAAGTCATAGTAAGAAATACTGTAAAACCTGAGTAGCAATATATTTTACTAGCTACAGCTGCTTTGTTCGTTGCCAACAGGTATCCATAGCAACGCGTCATTTGTAAACAGGGTGATAATAGCCATTTGTTGTTTGCAAACACTGACCTCTTCTAGATCTGTCAACTTCATATTTCTTAATCTGGTGCGGTTTGACTGTTTTTTAACTCTAAGAGTTGATATTTCTGAACGAACAGTCTGCAATGTTGAGCTGATTTGAAACGCTTCCAGTTGTTCACTTTCGGACCAAAGATGAGCTTACTGGCTTTCCACATGCATCCCAAAAGTATCTGCATGATTCCACTTGAAGCAGCTTTCATGGGTGCATTCGATCCACTGTGTAAAGACACTTTGTTCTTTCAGTTTCTGCTTTCCTTAGTTCTTCTTTCTGACTATCCAAGGCACTTTTTTGAAAAATCATTTTCTATTTCCACTATGCAAAGCACTACAATTCCTGAAAAGTATGCTTATGCTAAAATTTGGCATTATACACAAACATCTTGCAAATATCTTGGCTAGTTAGAATTTAAACACTCATCTCTAAGACACTAGAGTAGAATTAACATTTAAGAAACTTGTTTGGCTTTTGACATCAATCTGAAGTTTTAGTTTAGCAAAATGAGCTTATATACTATGGCTTCATAAAGAAATCAAAGACTAGGAAGTAGCATTCAAAACCCAAGAAAGAATCTATGTATTTAGTTGAATTCATAGCTCTAACCGTTTCTTTAAACACTTGAGCGTAAACCTTAAGTTTGACCTATTTAAGGCTGCTTTCACCAAACATGGGACCGATTTAATTCAAAAGCTACTTGAAAGTGCCCAGCCACAATCAGTTTCATGTAAGATCCAAGTGAAGCAGCCTTCTCTCATGATCTTGCTGAACTCTCCATTCCATTTCAGCTTGCTTTGTAGGCACAGCCTCTGAACAGGGAAAAACCATCAAGGGCTTTGAAAACTCTTTAGTACTAAATGAAGATTCTAGTAAATAAATGACCAATGAACAACTTAAACAAAATTTAATGTTACCTCAGGTTTATGATTATTCTCAAAATATCTATTCCTAATGATCTATATGAGACAACATTGACACTATAAAATAATCACAGAAACAAATATAAGTGCACATTCATATATAACATTTTTATATTTATGATTGTGTATATATAGAGAAACAACCATGGCCTAATTGTTAAGGCCTCATAGTAACTCTTATTTGTTCCTATTCAAACTTTTTACTTTGAAAGTTACTAGTTTGGGACACTTGAAATCTCAACAAAATAATTAGATCTGCATGTGTTCCAAAAGAATAGAATAACCTAACCTATGAAAAAAAGTATGTGCTAAAATCCTGTCTGGTGTTGTTTCTGCTATGAACAAAATTTATACATTCTTACCTTTAAAAACAAATAAAATAGGCATTGCTAGAATGTAAACAGAAATTAGCACTTACTCATAAAATAGCATACAGTAAAATGCTAAATTATATTCTTATATAGTATTATATAGATAGTACTGAGAATATTAAACAGGAAGAAGAAATTCCCTTAGTTATTATGAGCTAAAACCATGATTTCTACATCACGATAAGACATTAATAGCTTCCCATTTATATTTCATCCACATCATAGCAAGTCATAGTTTGCCTGCTTTAATATCCTGATAGCTGGTTATCACACAAGAAGAAAGCACAATTACAAGTTAGCTGCACATATCAAAGTAAAACAGGCATTGATTGACCTTGTCTTCATCTTTGTCTAAAGTACAGAAAATTAACCTTCCAGTTTGGTTACCTACCAGCAGTGACTGGAGCGAGCAGGTGTCATCGCCTCTAGAAGGAGCTCCAGATTACAGCCCTTTCTCCCATAACTTAAGCACAAAAGCCAAGGATCTGTTCGCAAGTAATGAATGGTTAGAACGGCTTGGAATCCACTTAGTTGAGGAAGGAAAAAAGAGAAGTCTCTCATTAGGGCATTTCCTGAACTCTGGTTGGAATTTCAGTTAAGGAAGAAGAAATGACACAGCAGTTTCAAGTTAAGGCGACTTCCTTTCTTTATCTGAAATATGCTACTAATTTGAGAAAGGGCATTCCAGCCCAGCCACTCCGTAGGCTGTGGCTACAGCAAAAAAATAATAATGATAAAATAAAAAAAACTTTGTCATTGATGCCATTATTGCCCCATAATGAACATTTCCCCCCAGAATTTACAGAGGCAGTATGCGGTTGTTACCAGAGTGGACTAGGACCCCACAGTTATTGCAACACATCTGCCTTCTTTACAAGTAAGTTTCTGCAGAACGCTGACCTTCCCCACTTTGCAGTTAAGAATCACACTTTGGCTTTGAATACTAATAGGCTGAGCTTAGAATTTAAGGCTATTTTCAGAGTTTAATACAATGCAAGTTTTGTTACATCTCAATTGCTCTCAAAGACTTCATGATAAATATTGACCAAGAATCATTGATCTTGCCAAGTATAACAGAAATACAAAATTGAACTTCTGAGATATATGTGCCTTTACTAAAAGGGAAACAAAAAAAAAAAAAAAAGAAACGCCCTTTCCTTTGACCATCAAGGGTGCTCTCAAATCAGTTATCATCTTTCTTTTTTCTTTCTTTCTTTCTCTCTCTTTCTTTCTTCCTTCCTTTCTTTTCTTTCTCCTCTCTGTCTTTCTTCCTTGCATTCAACCAGATTTGATTGATGTAAGCAGCTAAAATATGACCTTTTAGCAAGAATCACAAATGATTCTAATAAGAACCCAAGTCAGGAGCAAGTCGACTAGTCTAATTTTCGAAACCAAACCAAATGTCTTCTATAGGGAATTTGATAAACTTTCTCTGTAAAGAACAAGAAAATAAACCTGATGTGTGTCTCAGGGCGCTCATCTTTTATGACATGACAGTTCTATTATTGTAATGGCATACTTACATAATTCACAAATGAATGCCCACAGTAGGCTTTCTTTGTCTCCATTTGAAAGCTCCAGAAAAGTTTCTGCTCACTGCCTGAGATTCTACACTTTATGTTCTCTTTTAAAAGTTAGAACACCTTAACTAGCCTCATCAATATTACCAGTGACAGTCACTGCTTATTCACAACTTATTTTCTACACCAGCAGCATATGTTTGATAAGTCTTTAATGTCTTTTTCCATTTGCATCGGTGAGCATCAGTTGTACAGAATAATAGGCCTTGCCACCTTCATCTTCATGCTTTTGCAAGGTACTACACTCAGTCATTCTCCTGTCTTCCCAGCTGTTCAGGTGTCCTCTTCCACTTCCTTCTCTTACCTCTGATTACTACAATTGAAATATCTGCAGGGTCCTCTTTCCCTCTGCAGCTGCATGTTTGACCACTCTTGACCTTTAACAAAACCTCTGTCTGCTGGAAAATAAGCTGACACTCACTAAAGTACACTGTGTTCCTCCAAAGGCCCATGTGCTGAAAGCTTAGTCCCAGCTTGGTACTACTAGGAAATGGTGGAACACTTGAATAAGCAGGACTTGGTGGAAAGCATTGGGCAATGGGGATATACTTTTAAAGAATTCTTTGGAGTTCCAGTGAAGGTCCTCATGCTTTCTCCCTTGAGCCCAAAGTGAGCACGTTCCTTCTGGCAGTCATTCTTTTGCACATGTCACCTCCCAAGTCCCAAAGAAGAAAGTCAACTGATTATGAACTGAAACGTCCTAGAAATGTGATTGATAGATGCTTTCCTTGTAACTCATTCTTTCTTCAGGTATTTGTTTCAAAGACAAAAAGGCAACATTTCTATGGCAGTAGAGATGAAACGTCAGCCACAGCTGCTGTGACGATGAGGACTTAGAATAAGTCTTTGTCACACAGTAGATAATATGAATGGAAAACAATTCATAGCTTTCTTTTACATTAGCCTCCCCAGCAAAAGAAGTAAAATACATATTCATTTATTTGTGATATTGTTTTCTATATTTTATAGGGAAGCTGTACTCATGAAATTTCAAAAATATGGTAACCTAAACAAGACGGGCACAGTGAAAACACCAGATGACCTGCCAATATGGATGAGGGAAAGGCCCAAGCTTTTTAACTTCCAAGAGCTCCAGCCCACTTGATTTTTAAGAATGTACACGCATGGCTTAACTTAGTTTATGGCAGCAAAATAATGATTTACTAGGAAAGTATGGGAAACGGGAAATTAAATGGATACAAGTGGGAGATTTTTTTCATTAGACCTGGCCTTTGGAAAGACAGAGAACGGTGAAGTGAGAAACACAAATAAAAGAGAAAGAGTACGGATTGCAGTGGTCACAAAGGCCAAAGATCAGAGAGAGGTGGTGTTCAAGTAAGAAATACTAACAGTCCACACAGAAAAGTTTCTGATGATTATGTAGCAGGTAGCATGGATTCTGAAAGCAATTTTACTAAAAATTCTTAGTTAGGCCTTCAAAAGTAAGAAATATGTATGTTTACTGTTATTTTAGTTATTACCTTTACTAAACTCTCAAAAGTAAAAGGTCTTTGGACAATAAGTCCTTTTAGTAGCATCAGATTTTGTTCACAGAATTTTGGCTACATCATGCCCATAGGAATCCCCTCCTCTGTGTGTGTGTGTGTGTCTGTGTCTGTGTGTGTGTGTGTCTGTGTCTGTGTACTATAAATATCTAGTAGTTACAGATAATAATTATCTTATTGAAAACTTTCAATATTAAGCTCTGAAAAGAACTAAAATCTCCTAAGACAATTCATCAAAGGAGAAGATAAATCTCATAACACAAGGTGCAAAATCAAAATGACAACAGAAAACAAGCCAAAATGAGATATAGAGCTATGTTACCAGTCATAGAAGCTACATAGAGAAATATTAGTATCATACATAAGAGCACTGTCAAAAAAGTATCATCAAAAATTTGATTTCATTGGCACTTTGGAGAAGAACGGGTGTTAGAAAGTTAAGATTTTTTTAAATATATGTGTTAATATGGAATGCTACATGTATAACAATCTAATAAAAAACAGTAAATGAAAGACTGACATTAGGTCCAGTATGAGTAAAATATGTAAAAACCTTTAAAATATCTTTAAAATTGCACTAAAATTTTCTTGACCAAAAAGGTGATGTTCTTAACTAGAAACACTCACTGCAGAAGAGCAACTGGACATGTACCATGAATAGACATTACTACAGAATGACAGAGTAGGTTGCTTTCACTTCTAAAGACTTTTGCCCATCTCAACAGAATCTGGAAAGATCAGTCCATTGGTTTCTCAACAATTTTAGCAGAAGTCCGTGAGGTCATCATTGTTTCATCAAAACAAGTAAAAGCAACTCAAAACAAGCAAATTACTTTCCAAAGTCTTCTACCCCCAAATAACTCAGTTTTGAGGAACAGAAATCTCTGGAAACCCTTGTGGCATAAATAAAAATTAATTTTCTATGATACTAAGATTGTTAAGATTTCTCTAGAGCTTTTATTTAATTCTAACAAGCACTAGAGTATTAAACAAAGACCAAGTCCAACTGAAAATTTTGAGATAGACGAAATTAGTTTTCAACAATCAATCTCTTTGCCCCTTTTCCTGTTTCCAGACAGGTGCCGTGGTCCCTTATTACCTCTCCATTTTTCATGCTATCTAAAACTATTCTTAGAAAACACTCTAATTCATTGCATACCTTATTCACTAAGGAATAGACGACTGATAAGAATGAAAATAACCTTCTTCCCAAAGGTATTTATATTTCAAAGCTAATATGACCTTAAAGAAGAGAAAATAAACTTAATATTGGAAAGGAAGGGTTATATACAAAAGTCTTCAAACAAGCAATCAAAAAAAAATTTATGTAGTCTTCCATACACTCTGAGCATGGTATACAAAAACTTGACAACACGTTATCTGAAAAATAAATAAAAGCAGATCTTCTTTCTTTGTAATGTTAGGGTGTTCCAAACTAGATGGTATCTATCATGATTGACACTTCGGTTCTCTAGAGATTAGAAAAATGACAAGTCTTTTACAGTCTTTTGCAACTGTACAATTATTCCCTGTCAGATAGGATAGGATGGAATACGCTGTCGTAACAACAACTCCAAAAAATACTTTAACTGTGTGTGTGTGTGTGTGTGGTGTTGTTTTAAATGCTGAGGAAACTTTGTTCCATTTGGTCACTTAAAGACCCAGGATGAAAGACATTCATCTCCAAATATGATTTCAGCACAATGGAGTAGAACAGAGAGTATAAAGAATAATAAACAGCTCTTGAAGATTCTGTAGAAAGTTATAGTCATCATTTATGTCCATCATTTATTGTTCAAATTTATCAGTGGCTCTATCTGCTTCTAAAAACAATGAACAAGCAACCCTAACACAAGCTAAGAAGAGAGAACTTGAATTACTGAATTGGAACAGTGGCAATGACAATATGACTTCTTGACAAGGATCACAATTTTAGCAAAACATGGCTCTCCTATAATGTCATATACTGAACAAACTTGGTCCATCAAATAAACTATAAGATTATTCTTCATTCTTTACAGTACCTAAAAATAAAAGATAAGAGGAAGATATCAGAGACGAGTTATGGAAAGAAGGGAGGAAGCACAAAGAAAAATACTTGGAAGTGATAGTAGCATCACCTAGAGATCAAAATCGATTAAGAACTCTATACATATGTATATTTCAGAGGTCTATAGAAATTCTTCTGAGTGAAGCTGAAGAGATGGCTCAGTGGTTAAGAGTGCTGGCTGAATTTTAATGTGTATTCCCTTTTCAGAATGAAAGTTATCTATGATCACTGCACAAAATCTGTGCTGAAAAGAAACATGAAAGTAGGAACAGCACTAATTGAAAAGAATAATGTGGCGGTTTGGATTAATGAAGACCAATAATAATAGATATTTGAACAATTTTAATGGCAAAACCAGACTCACGAAACCAAGGTTCCAGTGGAGTACCAGAAGCAGGAAGGGGCGCACAG